TCATGTCGCCCGGGACCACACTTGCGCGGCTTGCCCGCCTGCGTCGTGCTCCTCGGCCTCATGCTGCCCGGGACCACACCTGCGCGGCTTGCCCGCCTGCGTCGTGCTCCTCGACCCCATGCTGCCCGAAGACCACACTCGCGTGGCCTGCTCCTGCGGGGCCTACCACTCCTATGGCTGAGCCCAACCTGACCTACGAGTCATACTTCAGGGTTCCTCGGACCATTCACTGCTCAGTGCCACCACTGCGCATCCAACCCTCATAAATTACCAAGCTCCACGATTCCCACGCCCTTGGCGACGAACCGGCCTCCGCCCGACAGAGATAGTTCCTTAAAACCGAAGCCATGCCTCGGACCCCCCTTACGGCAGCCGACGCATAGCTTCCTTTGGGGGGGGAGTATGATGAGGGTGATAATTATGGTAAGACTCGCATGACATCAGCTGACGCCCCACGTCCCTGTCGAGCTGACAGCACCTGACAGACGCAGGCCGAAACGCCAACCGAGGCCCATTAACGACTGCTCAAGCTCTATCCCTCACGCCACGCCAACGGCGATGTCGGACGCCATCCGAGGTACGATCCTGCTCTCTGCGGGCAGGTACATCAGGTAACACTAAACTCTCCTATAAATACCCTCGCGTTCCAAATAAGAGGGGGGAGGACAATAGAGAGAAGGACCAACAAACATCATGCGACCTTGAACTAACTTGATCATCGGAGGGGTCGAGTCAAGCACCCCGACCCGACTTGTGCGCAGGAACGAAGACGAGGCAATTCTCTCCGGACGCACCAGGCGAGGAGCCCTTTCCCGGAGGAAACGACGACCCACCTCCTCGACCGAACCGACCGAGCCAGCGACCTCAGCAGTCCGAGGAACCCCCTTTGGAGATCCCCCGTCATCCGGACCCGAATCGAGCCGCGTCGACCCTGAGGCCACGGCTCAAGGTAGTTTACACGAACAAGTCCAAATACTGTGGCAGCCACACAAGCACAGGAAATTATTTTGTCATACCCTAAATATTTTTTGATATAATTTATTATAAAATTTTATTATTATAATTAATTATTGTTCACTCCTAATTCTAATTTTCACTTGAGTCGTGAGTTTTTGGAGGCCGGTATCGAATCGGACTCACATTGACGTCGATCGGTCACGAAATGTGGGTACAGAGCGTGTGACCCCTAAGGGTGTTATGGTAACAATACCTCGAGTACCCGTGCAAGTGTTTCTCGCTCGCTCCGTCCATCTGCTGCTGCTCTCTGGTGAGATTTCTTCCCCTCGATCTCCTTCTCGCTTTTAGTGATCTCTTCAGAGAATCCCATGAATTCGATATTTCTAGAAAGTTTTGGTTTTGGTATATTTCCCGGAGGTTTCTATTTGTTTCGTGGAAACAATTCATTCTTATTGATAACGTCACCCATATCATTGTTTCTTTTATCTTCATCCCTTTCATATTGGGTGATTTTAATGTCATAGATGAGATTTGTTGATTTGCTTCTATTTAAGCCTTATTTTATATTCTAATTTTCCGAACGCAAGTAGATAACGTGTTTCGATTTGGTTCGGTTCAATTGAGGCTGACGCCTTTGTGTGGAACACCTCGAGTGTATCGAATACCTCTGCCTCTCTGCAAACCCTCGATCTCTTGTCTACATGTTGTAATTTCCAGTTTTTGTCTCTTCTTTCTCCTTGTATTTTTTTTTTTTAGTGGTAAGTTATGATTTCTTCCAATGTGTAGTCAATTTGTTCTTGTTGTGAAGTGATGAAGATCTCTTGTTGGGTTGTTCAGCTCTTGGAATGTTGTTGCGCAGCCGGTTGAGAGATGATGCTACTTGCGAGCCATGGGTTTATGATCCCATGTCTTCCACGGATGAACTCGGAGGGGATGCGAAATCGGCCATTTTATAGTATGAGGTTTGCGAATGTGGATGGAGTGTATCATGTAGCTGATGATTCTGCCACAAGTCATCGTGTACAAAGGAGGAGGTTAGAGTAATAAACTTGGTGACTATTTGCAGTGTTCTGGTGGCATAGAGCTGTAGGATGTCATTGTTTTTTTATCTTCATCTCTTTCATATTGGGTGATATGGGTGATTTTATTACTATAAATGAGATGTATTGATGTAGAACAGAGTAGGGAAGTAGAGAGAAAGAGAGGGAAAGAGAAAGACAAGTGTGAGATAAGGGAGGAGAGTAAGACTAGAGGAGATGTAATTCTTTCCATTTCAAATCTGAAAAATGCTTGATCCATTGATAAGCTCCACTATTTATAGGGGTTTAGGAGCCTTGGTATAATTAATGAAGACGATGATTCTCAAGAGTAATCTCCTATAGAATTAGTATGCTTTTTAGAAATTCAAAATGTGACTTCTAGGATACCTAAATAGTAAATAAGTGCACTTAATACAAGAGTGCACTTAATACAAAAGGAGTTCTTAGAAAGACCAAAATATATTTTTTTTAAATTTTTAACACAATTCTTAGAATTTCTAGGTCAACTAATTGATGACTTTTTATTGATTTCTTTGCTTAAAATAAATTTTTCTAAAATCATTTGTAAAGCTAGATAGTTCTCTATCAGTATCCCCTAGTGAAATAGAACTCGACCCCGAAGAGTGATCTACAAGGTACTAGTCCAGTAAGTCTGATGCAAAGTTACAAAGTTCCTCCAAAGTAATTCAAGTGAAATCGAAAGCTGGACGATCACGCTACTTCATAAGAAAGTGTTGAGTAATGCTAATAGCAGATGTGACAAGATGGTCATCAAGAATAGCCTCTATGTCATCCTTGTGTTGTGGGAGAATCAGTGCTTTGCGAGGATTCACCTATAGAAACATTGGTAGACAGAGGAGGCTCAAAAGTACACCATGACATGGAGTTAAATTCTCCACATTGAAAACTGAACTAATATTTAAGTCGGAAGGAAAATCAAGCATATATGCATTAGAAATGAGCTTTTTCTGGTGGAGCGGTTGATTGAGTTATTGCATGCAAATTTTGAAGTGGGTAAAGTTATGTCCCAATTTTCGGGTTTCTCCCCAACTAAACATCTAAGAAGATTTCCCAAGGAACGATTAACAACCTCAGTTTGACCATCAGTTTGGGGGTGAAAGACGGAAGAGAACTTCATTGTTGTGCTAAATAGTTTTCAGAAAGTTTTCCAAAAGTAGCTAGCGAATTTCACATCCCTATCGGACACCAAGGTTAAAGGCAAGCCACGTAATTTAATTACTTCTCGAAAGAACAGTTTAGCAATGTGTAAGGTGTTGTTGGTCTTATTACATGGGATAAAGTGGGTCAATTTTTAAAATCGATCAATAATAATCAGAATAGAGTTATGGCCACGGGCTATTTTAGGAAGTTCAAGGAAAAAAATCTAAACTTACATCTTGCTAATGGTAAATGTGGAATGGGTAATCGGTTGTATAGGAACAGGTAATGGTAAATGCCCTTAGAAATTCTACTAAGGGCATTAGCAGCTTTGTTTTGAGTGTCAAAACAATGCTTAATTACAAATGAGTATTCATTGAGAAACTCAACCCACTTGGCGTGTCGAGCATTTAACTTCTTTTGGGCATTTTAGTAACTTAGGGCCTAATGGTCAGACAACATGACAAACTCTTGTGGCAGAAGGTAATATCGCCAATACGTAAGACAATGCACAATCATGTAGAATTCTTTGTCGTAGGCAAGGATTTTAATTTTGAATGATACCGCCCATATCGGGCGGTACATATCAATCCGTCAGTAGACCGGTACATGAACCGCCCACTACTGGACAGTATCAACTTGGCTGCAGCGAGGGAAGAAGAAGCGTCGAGGGAGAATTGGGAGAACCTTGACGCTTTCCGATCTGGCGCCACCCTCCCTCAATGATCCCAATCCATGAGGTAACGGAGAGGCGGCAGCTCGGCTTCTTCGTCGTGTTCTTCACTGAAGGCCAAAGACGCCTGTAGCCTTCGTCGAAGGCCGGAGACGCTTGCAGCCTTCGCCAAATTCTTCATCGAAGGCCGGAGACGCTTGCGGCCTTCGTCGTGTTCTTCGTCGATGGCCAAAGACGTTTGCGGCCTTCGACGTCTTCGTTGAACGCCGTAGATGAGGAGAAGACCGCATCTTCTCCTCGTCGGACACGACGAGGAGAAGAAAAAGAGGCGACATCGTCAAGGCAGTATACGCCTCCTTTTTTATAATTTTTATATTATTTTTATATATTGATTTTTGTATTTATATTATATATATATATATATATATATATATATATTTATACATACTAAATGGTACACCCTAGTGTACCGCTTGGTGCGCCCGTATCGTATCGTATCGAGCAAAGTTCGAAACGTCGGTACGATACGAAATTACGAACCTTGCTCATAGGTATAATAATGTTGTTTTGCATTATTGAGTTTCTCACTAGAAACAGCGATATGCTAACCCTCTTGACTAAGAATTTCTCCTATGCCTATACTAGAGGCATCACAAGTGACCTCAAAGGGTTTTTATTAAACATAGGGTGTCTAAGAACAGGAGTGGTGGTCATTTTCATTTTGATGTTAGCAAAGGCTTTGATAGCAGCCAAGGTCGAAAAAAACTCATCTTTCTTTAAACAATTAGTGATAGGTGTCATGATAGAACCAAACCCTCTAATGAATCTCCTATAAAAATAGACTCATCCATGGAAACTACGAACCGTGGTAAGGGTTTTAGGCTCAAGCTATTCTAAAATGACGTGAATCTTTTCTAGATTAGTGGCAACACCTTGGGCAGAAATGATGAAGCCTAGGAATAGGACATGGGTTTTTATGAACAAACACTTTTCCAGATTTACATAGAGCTTAGCAACTCTAAGGGTAGTAAGAACCCGTCAAAGAGTTTTTAAATGATTCTCTTTAGTCTTACTAAACATCAAAATGTTATCAAAGTAGACTACAATAAATTTGCCTATATAGGGTTGTAAAACTTGTTTCATGAAGCACATGAAAGTGCTTGGGGCATTGGATAGACCAAAGGGCATGACTAACCATTCGTATAGACCATCTTGAGTTTTAAATGTTGTTTTTCATTCATTGCTAAATATAATATGAATTTGGTGGTATTCGCTTCTTTGGTTAATTTTCGAAAATCAACTAGATCTTGCGAAAAGGTTAGCATCTCCTCAAATCAAGGAATCGGGAAGTGACATTTGATTGTTATTTTGTTGATCGCTCAGCTATCCACTTGCATCCTCCACGACCCATCTTTCTTAGGGGTTAACAAGGTAGGGACAATGCAAGGACTAAGGCTGTGTTTGTATATTGCCTTTAGCCAAAAGTTCATCAATTTGTTTGTTTAACTTGATTCTTTCCTTGGGATTCATTCTATAATGTGGGAGATTAGGGAGTTGCAATCCTAGGAGAAGGCCAATGACATATTGGATTTCCCGTAAGGGTGGCAGTTCACTAGGTAATTCCAAGGGTATGACATCAAAAAATTCATCTAGTAAGGACTTAACCTCAGGAGTTAGGTTAGGAATAGTGCAAGGGCTAGGAATTTCTCTAGCAATGATGGCCATACAAAATTTGTTGTCTAGGCTTTCTATTTTAAAAGATTTAGGATCCAGTAAGTGGAATCCCTTGGTAGTTAGGGCTTGTGGAGGAGTCTTGGGAGTTCTTGATTTGTTCTTTTTTTATGGTTTTGCTAGTCAGAGGATAATATTTTTGTCTCTGTATAGAAAGACAGGTGTTTTCATCAATAACCTGATTGATAACATCAAGGTCATACAACTAAGGTCGACTTCAAAAGAATGTAGGCAACGTCTTTTGGTAGGATATCACAGTAAATCTTATCTTGGTAATTGCCCATTTTAATTGGTACTAGGCATCTCTTGGTCATGAGTAGAGTGGTTTTATCAACCTAGACTATTCTAAATAAGGTGGAATGCGATTCTACCTTAAGATTTAGTCTCTTGATAGTAGATTTTGAGACTACGTTCATAGTGCTATCCCCATCAATAACCAATTTGCAAGTTCTTTCCCTGCTTCAGATAAAAGTATGAAAGATACTTGTCATTTTTCATTCATTGGAATCATTAGCAGTAGAGAGAATAATACATACAACATTAACATATGCATCCTTAATTTCTAGTCCGTTTTTGTCACTTAAGTAGATTTCGGGTTCAACTACTTGGTCTTGATTTGATCCTCTAGTCCTTGTTTTAAGATAAGGGTATGTTGAGGACAATGAGAGGCAATGTGATCTCTATTATGGCTATAATGACATTGGACTAAAGACGAACTAGTTTGAGAATCAGTAGTTGAACAAGTTGAACGATTTATGATTCAGCCATAATTGTTGCTAGTAGTGAGGATTTTTGACTTGACAAAGCCACTACTTGGGGTAGATTAGGTAATAGTTCTATTGTCGAAAGACTGAGAAGATGCTCGATGAATTAGATAAAGTTTGATGTACTTCTCAATCTCAAGGTTCGTTGGGAAGCTTCCTCTATGGTGTTGGGAAAACTAAGAGAGGCTTTCCGTTAGATGTTAAACCTCAACCCATTAATAAATCTTCTAACAGTGATGATTTGGTTCTATTCAATTTCACCCTTAAGTAAAAATTTCGTAAATTGGGCCAAATACTCTATCACACTAGAATTCAATTGTTTGAAGTTTAACTATAGTTTAACTAATTGGCTTTGAAAGTAAGTTGGTAATTATTTTTCCTTCAGTTTTTGTTTCATGGCTTGCCATTGAGTGATGGGAGACTCTTGACGATGTTTGCGACTACGTTAGACATGTTGCAAATAAAGCTATTAGTTTCACTTTTGCAAATTGTACACGTTCAATATCAATCATTCCATGCCACTCAAAATAGTCTTCCATGCTATCTAACTAGTCAACAAATATATTTGGGTCAAACATAGCATCAAAGTCCGACACATCCACTTTGACTCTTCTAGCCATTCCCCCTGTATTGTTAACAAATCGAACTTGTTGGCCCATTACTCGGGTTTATGGATTTCTAGTAGGTACTAGGAATTTATCATTAAGGTCAAAGGCTTCGTTATCATGAATTGTTGGAGCATGATTGTGAATAGGTGCCCTATAGGTGGACTTAGGATTTGTTCGACTTAGAGCTTAGGGAGTAGGTAAAATTCTTTGATTTAAAGCTATTGATTGTGGAGAATGAATATGTTGCTTAACCGAATAATCAACCTCCTCATTCATGGGTTGTTTTTCAAGATGTTGGATGGCTCTTAGGACTTGGGTCATTTGGTCACATATGGTTCAATATTGTATCATGATTTGCTAGCTTGGTCCTAAGGGTGTCTATCTCACTCTGTTGGTTTAGGGATTCATTAGGATTGGTTTGGTTTTCACCTCGCCGAGTCATGATTCTAACGCAATCGACAAATTACCTTTTGGTAATGAGGTTATTAATTGTTGCAATGCATAATGATAGAAATGCAATGTTTCAAATGGTTCTCACTTTTTCTTCCTCACTTTCTGGTTTATTTTTTTGGGACAACTTTTACGGGTTCAAATTTTAGTGATACTATAGTTGTAACTACAGGGGAGAGAGAGGGTGATAAATAGAAAAAAAAAAATGAAGAAAAGGGGGGTGGGGGAGCGGTGAAAACATGATCTACTGAAATATATATATATATATATATATATATATATATATGATAAAAAAATATTAGTAAAGTTTTCAAAAATTTACTCGACACTAAGAGCTATGTGGTCCATCAATTCCGTTAGAACAGTCTCTCCAAAGTCCAACTCCACACGCAAGGGGTTGAAGTTGGAGGCACAAGGATCCTTCAGTGTCGATCGAAGCTTTTGCTGCTAGTTGGAACCCAATGGGTACATGGTAGGTTTCTTGATGGGCTTTGATACCAAACTAATGTAGAACATAGTAGGGAAGTAGAGAGAAAGAGAAAGAAAGAAAAGTATGAGATAAGAGAGGAGAGTAAGAGACTAGAGAAGATACAATTCTTTTTATTCAAATCTGAAAATTGCTTGATCCATTGACAATCTCTACTATTTATAAGGGTTTAGGACCCTTGGTACAATTAATAAAGACAATGATTCCCAAACGTAATCTCCTGTGGAATTAGTTAAAAATCGAAAATGTGACTTCTAGGATACCTAAATAGAAAATGAGTGCACTTAATATAAGAGTGCACGTAATACAAAAGGAGTCCTTAGAAAGATTAAAAGATTTTTTTTTTTTTCAACACTACTCTTAGAATTTCTAGGCTAACTAATTGATGACTTTTTGTTGATTTCTTTGTCTAGAATAAACTTTTATGAAATCCTTTGTAAATCTAGATGGTTCTCCATCATGTATGGATTTGGTTCTATTTAAACCTTCTTTTGTATTCTAATTTTCCGAATGTAAGTAGATGATGTGTTTCCATTTGGTTTGGTTCAATTGAGGTTGATGCCATTGTGTGGAACACCTCGAGTGTATCAAACACCCAACATCTAGATGTAAAATATTCAAAATGATAAATTTTCTTTAGCACTTCAACTGACTGTGAGGTTGTCTGTCTGCATTGCACACTCGTAAGTAACAAGATGGAGTTATCTACTTGTACTATTCATTTTCTGAGAACCATTATATCTAAGTTCACAAAGTTTCATTAATTTTGGATGGATAATTGGTTCCATGTTTCATCTAGACTCAACGGTTAACTAGCCCATTCTTGGTCGTGGTACAATTAGACTACGTAGCTCATTTAACACGTTAGGTAAAAAAAATAGAACTTATTTATATGATTTTATTTTACAATGCTTTCATTGTTTTGAGCTTTTCTTGAATGGATTCTAGAGTGTGAATTTCTAATATGGATTTTTTCAGTTAGATTATGTCTGCCAATAACTAAAAACATTCACGATGTTTGATTGCTAATTTTGATGATCTAGATCATGTATCATACCAATTTGGAACAAAAGAGTGCCACAAATCTAGATAAGAAATGTATATTGTGGTCCAAGGGGACAGAGTGATCATACAAATATGATTCTAGTGGTATGAGATGAGATCTACTACACACACTTGTATTATGGTTTTTCTTCTACACAACAGAACAGAAACTTATGAAATGGGGACCTTGTTGTTTAAGGTCTTTTGTTTTCATCATGGTAACATGAAAATTTTCTACCATATGGATAGGGTGACTCATGTCCTTATTTGATTTTGATCAATCTCTCTTTTTTGGTGATCCTTAATGCCTTTGCTTATTCTTTCTCATTTATTTATTTTTCTGTAAGTTCTATCCTCTTTTTTCTTTAAATTAAGTGGTACACTCAACAAAAGGGTCATAATCCGTAAGAATGATGCTTGGGCTTTTAGTGACATATGTTGAACATGGATTTGTACAACCAAAAATTTAATATAGCTTGATTAATCAATGTTTTGAAAAGTGGTATCCGTCCACTTATGCACCACATATGCGGATGCAGTCCATAGACCACACTGGATTACATTATGTTGTGCCAATATGTGGTATGCCATTAATGCAGTCTGCATGTATGTAATGCAGACACACATGCCACATATGCAGACGCTTTAAAGAACCATGTATATTAGCCGAGCTAACTTGATCTAACAAATAGAGCTCATCAATGGATCATCTTTAACCATGTCTATGCTATATTCTGAAAGTGAATCATTAGAGATTAACATTAGCAAACAAGTAATGATTCACTTGCAAATATTAGCAACTATTCCTGCATGATTCACAATTTTTAGTAGCATAACTAAGGTTATCAAAATAACTAATTAATTCTGTTTTCTTTCACTGGAATGATATAGATGTTTATTTGATCACACAATTCATAATAATTTGACATGACATGAGCATTGAGTTAGGAAGAACGAGATCACATGTTAAAGAGGAAATTGAATGAGTCTACAAATGCAAATGGAATGACCTTAAAATTGTTTTTATTATTTTTGCCTTTAAATTGTTTTTATATGTAAATAGAACCCATACATGCAACCGCATACACACTTTGTATTATGATGCCCAACCACTTATTAGATCCTTGTCAGCTATAGAGGGTTGCAACTCCTAGGAAAACCAATTGACATTGATCTAAGGTGATAACATATATTGGCAACAAAATATTCTTTATTTTATTTCTCTTATAGCTGAAAATTGCAAACATGACTTTGTTGATGAAGATTCCACCATTCAGAACGATAATTAACAACCACGTAGGTTAAACACCACTGGATCTGGCTATAAGCAAAGGATATATTTTGCTAAGGATTCTTTTTATTCATTAGTTTCATCATGTATGAGATGCCATTTAGTTTTCAATAAACGTTCGCATCCAAGAGATTTGGCTATAATTGAAGGATATATTTTTGTAAGAATTCTCTGCAATTCTTTTGTACAATGACTAAGTTTAATTCACATATAGTTAACGAGTCAAATTGCACTGAAGTTTGATACCTATATACTCTCATAAGATTTTCAGATTTTCTGTCCAACATATCAAATTGAAAACAATGTATCTCATGTACATTAAAGGAAATATAGTTTCAAGCTCGTATAAGCTCAAATGTCAACATTGACAAAGATTTTTTCAGTTGAAGTAGCAGGAACACATTACTGCTATCAATCATTGTGACCATCAAACTCCAATCTACTAGCTAAGAACTAGGCACAAGTACCTTCTATTCTGATAGATCGTAGCATAGCTAATATGGTATGTTGGTGTGCATAGAAGACCCGTAGAGTTAGTGAGATGGCCAAGTAGTAGTACCCTTTCTCTTTAGGATAAGCTGGTGTACAAAAAGCAGCAAGTATTCATTTTAAGATGATTCAATCATAAAAGGTGGCCAAGCGATGCAGAAAGAAGGCAAAAGAAACTTAAAAAGTTCCTTAGATTTTATCATCTAGGCAAGTCCACGAAGAGAATTAATTAATTGCATTTATCAGCTTGAGTAGATATGCAAGTTGAGAACATGTTAACCTTCCTAAAATAATGAGCTTGCACATTTGAACAGATCTTCATTTCTTTTGCAGTTTTTTGACAAATTTATTCCGATATCTGCCATTGATTTGTCAAGCTTGTGGAACTCTTGATGTATGAGCTCCTACTCTAGTTGTTTGGATATCACTAGTTTCCATTTTATGGTTTTTGGCTCTTTAATCATTGATTTTTCAATATATATGCATAAATAGTGGAAGATCAATTTGTTTTTGGCAACCTATCACTTCATTTTGTTACAGGAAAGAATTTTATCTCTATCTTATCAAACAGGTGTGATTGCTATGATCACTACAAGCAGCTTATTCCTTACATGGAGGCTTGGTGTTGGCAAAAGTCTCTTGTACGAATGAGACACGACTTAGTAGGCCGAGATGAAGATCATTCTGACATGTTGATCATTCTGCAACATCCTCCAGTATATACATTGGGGACTGGTAGTTTGGAGAAGTATTTGCATTTTAATATACAAGATTCTCCCTACGAAATTTATCGGACTGAACGTGGTGGAGAGGTCACATATCATGGTCCTGGTCAGGTAGTCATTTTATATATTTGTTGCTAAACTCATTATCATTAGTTTCATTAGTGTTATCTGTACATTTGTGGAATTTTTGTAGTCTCCTCACACTTGCACATAGCATAGAACTATTTCTTCCCCTTCTCAACCTAGATATAACAAAAACTAGTCACATTTTAAACGGACATCAAGATGTCTCATTTTATCTCATTTTTTTTTTAATTGTCATTAAATAGTGAAGTCTTTACTACCTATGTTCTATATCATTTTGTATCTTGCTTTAGAAAACTGTAAACATATAGGATGCCCTTTCCTCTTGTTGCAATATGCAATTTAATTCATCATCTTTAATGCATTTTATGCAATTATTACGATAAAATGATATTTCAACAAATTTACCTGCGTTGGTACTCTAATTTCAAGTATCTCTGAAGATGACTATGCATTGTCTTGATGATTCACTTCCTTTTGTACTATTATATTCTCTTCAGTTGCATAGTAATTTTTTTTGTTCACTGTTGCATGTAAATTGAAGCATTTCAATATCGACCTCGTTTTCTAAGATTTGTGTTTTTGACTTATTTCTTATATGAATGAATTATGGTGTGAGAAATTTTGAAGAGTGACGAAATAATAGGAGAAAACAAAACCTTGGTGTCACTTGTCATTCAGAAGGAATACTGTGATTATTTCACGATGATTGCTTGTTGATGTGCTCTTCTTATTGTTTCTTGCTCTTCCATCTTACAGTTTGTATGTTGGCCTTCTTCATAGCTTGTAATGTACCCTATTGTCAATTTGCGGTATCACAAGATGGATCTACATTGGTACCTTAGGTCACTTGAGGAAGTGATTATCCGAGTCCTTTCATCAACTTTTGCTATCAAGGCATCTAGGATCAAGGGTTTAACCGGAGTTTGGGTCGGTATGTTGCTTATCTTATGCACTGCAATTGTTTCATTTGATTTATGTTGTATGACACTTGTACAGGACACTTAGAAGTGTTCAAGAAGTGCATGGATATGATAATAAGAAAAAAACATTTTTCATGAGAGCCTCATTTATATATGTATGTATATGTATGTGTATATACATATATACATATGTATATGTGTGTATATACATATATACATATGTATATATATGTATATATATATATATATATATATATGTATATGTGTGTGTGTGTGTATAGCCTCATTTCTATAATGATATTTGCATACAAAGAAAAAAAACACTTTTTCTTATCATGTCAGCTTTGACTGTTATCTCTCTCTCTCTCTCTCTCTCCATATATATATATATATATATATATATATGTATATATATGTGTGTATATATATGTATATATATGTGTGTATATATATGTATATATATGTGTGTATATATATGTATATATATGTGTGTATATATATGTATATATATATATATATATATATATATATGTATATGTGTGTGTGTGTATAGCCTCATTTCTATAATGATGTTTGCATACAAAGAAAAAAAACACTTTTTCTTATCATGTCAGCTTTGACTGTTATCTCTCTCTCTCTCTCTCTCTCTCTCTCTCTCTCTCTCCATATATATATATATATATATATGTGTGTGTGTGTGTGTGTGTGTAATCATCATGATAGGATATTATCAAATGATGTATGAAAAACATTGTAATTTTGGAAGTTTGCTGATCTTTTTTAACCCTTGTGTTTCTCTTAAATTTTTTAGGGAATAAAAAAGTTGCTGCAATAGGGATTCGGGTGTCACGGTGGATATCGTATCATGGATTGGCAGTGAATGTTACAACAGACTTATCTCCATTTCAGCGCATTGTTCCATGCGGCTTACAGGACCGTGAGGTTTGTAGCCTTAAGGAACTACTAGGGAATTCTTTGAGTGGGAAGATTGAAGATTCTGTTTTAATTGATACTGCTCATGAATCCTTGGTTAAGGAATTCTCTGAAGTTTTCCAGTTGTCACTTTCCAACAGATCAATCTCTTGATTTCACTTTTCCTGATGATAGACAGAAACTATCAGAGAAAGAATTTGAGATGGGGCAGCTCGTCCCAATATGTCATCAGCCTTTTGGTAATGCAAGGAGCTTAAATTCAAGCAAATTCTACTATAACAGTAGGAGGTATTTGACAAAAAAAAAGTTTTTTTTTTCAAAAAGCTACCAATACATATTGAATATTCTCATTGTTTTTGACTTGTGCAGAAGAACTTTGGTGAAAGTCCAAGTTTTATGTTTTTATCCCCTAATGTTAAAACCGGTTAAGGTAGTTTCGTATAATCATGCAGGGAATAGTCAAATGCTTGATAACATATTAATGCTCTACTAGTGCTCTTAAATTGAGAATGTCTCTTACAGATGATAGATAATGCATGTTTTTATTTTAGTATTCAGATTAATTGAATTTTAGCAATGCTCATGCATTAGCACATTACAGATGTTAGCCACAGCGATCTCAATCAAGTCGTTACTTGTTCCCCACTTCATCATCATTCAATGAAGCTTCTTGAGAACTTTAGCTGTCCATTTCTAACTGTCTCCCTAATCCACCTCATGTTGCTCAAATAGACATCGATGGCGCGATAGAGGCCGTCGTCGAGCATCCTCCCGTGGTCCGGCAGCGCGAGCGCGAGGTCGCAAAACTTGTCCGGTTTCAGGTTCGCGTCAGACGCGATCTCTGTGTCCACCAGTAGCTTGTTCTTATCAGGACATGGGGATGATCCCGCGTCTCGTCGTCTGCGTCCTCGGCGTCGGCAGCCGTGGCCGACCTCTACTAGAGGCCCTCCAGAACGAAGGCCACGATTTGTTGGACACAGTCCACGAGGTAGGAATAACTCGGCATCAAGAGGTCGTCGACGGTTTCGTGCTCGAGCTGCGAAGCGATGCTGCGTTCCAGGGCGGTCCGGGAAGCTTCCGGGGCGCGGAGGAGGCCCAAAACGAACCGGGTGGTGACCGGACCCGAAGAGGAACTGCTGCTCGTCTTCTTTGATGGGGGGAGGTTGGTGGTGACGGTCTCTAAGGTTGCTCCTCCGCCTCGGATGGCAGCGGGCCAGAGGCACGAGTGGCGGCATGATGGCGGTTCGACCGTGAGAGCCCCGGGATCGACCGCTTTGCGTAGGAGATGAGGGAGCCTTGGATCACCTCGGCGCTCAGATCCTTGGCTCTCGGAGATAACTCGCTTGCAGAAGCCAGAAGGGGAGGCAGAGAGCCGCGGCGTCCTCCTTCAATGTCTGGTATCCTCTTATATTCCAAAACTGTGCTTCGACTATGCTTTAATTTCCAAGTATGAAATTAATTAGGGTTTGAACTATACCTTTTTGTTCCTTGTTTACGACCCCTGTTTTAGCAATTCCAGGATCCAATTGTTGTGATTTACTACCTGTGGAAGAAGGCGATGGTTGACTCGGTGGACTTAATTGGATTCGAACATCCCACGAGTTTGTGGTCTTTAGCAGCAGGCAATCATAGCATATATCTATATGGTCATTGCCAACCTCGAGCTGTTTACAGATGCATGCATGCATGGAGTCTTGAGACACCTAAGGTTATTACTGGTACAGAAGAAGAAACAAGCAAACAAGGATTTCATACACAACAAGCTGCTGTCGAATGGCTATGTACCACCATCTCATGAACCATTGGCTAGTCGTCCTCTGCATCAGCCTCGCCCGCTGTTATCCGTTCGAGCTCTCTTGCTACCTCCGCCATCTCAGGCCTCTTCTCGGGCGACTGCTCGCAGCACCACAGCGCAAGCTTCAGCAACATGATCATCCCGCTCGTCGCCCTCTTCTGCACCAGCATCTCCGCGTCGAACACCTCCCCCGTCCACTCCTCCCGCACCGCGCGGTTCACCCAGTGGCACAACTCGACGCTGCGCACCCCGCCCGGCCTCGAGTTCGCCGCCACCCTCCCGGTTATGAGCTCCAGGAGGAGGCAACCGTAGCTCCAGACGTCGGTCTTCCTCGACATGCTGCGGTTGAGCTGGTACTCCGGCGACTTGTAGCACACCATCCTGTGGACCGCGAGCGAAGCGGGGATCAGAGGAGCGAGCCCGTGGTCGCAGACCAATGGCTTGTCGTTCTCGTCGAGGAGAACGTTTGTTGCCTTTAGGTTGCCATGGGGGACACTGCTTCTCATGTTCAGGTGCAGGAACTCCATCGCCTGAGCCACTCCTTGTGCCACTTGCAACCTCGAGCTCCATGTGAATGGAGTTCTGTCAGCTCTTCTTCGTCCTCCTGTTTCGTATGGCTTCGTGGAGAGATCAGCAATATTACCATGGATGCGATCGAACAGGTTGCCATGGCATGCGTAGTTCGAGATCACAAGCTTCTCGGTGCTGGAGTAGTAGTAGCCGAGCAAAGGCAACAGATTTGGGTGCTCCATGGCGGAGAGTGATCTCATCTGCTTCAGGAATTCTTCCTTGGTAACTGGGCCGATGCCTCTCAGCCTCTTCACCACCACCATCCTAGCGCCATCGAGCATCGCCTTGTAGCAACTCCCGAAGCTCCCCTTGCCCAGTCCCTCCGCCGAGGCTTTCAAAAGCTCGTCGATACCGAACCCACCTCCATCCGTCGCAAACGTGATCTTCCCCGGCTCTTGCACCACTGCGTCCTCCTCCTCATCGCAACGCATGCCTTCCCCCTTCTCGATGATTTCAACAGCAACAGCAGTAGGAGGAGGAGGAGGAGGAGGAGGAGGGTTCTCCTTCCCCGTCTCCTTCGCTTTTAATCGCCTGCAGAAGGCGTAGATGGTCCACAGCAAAATGAGCAACACAAGAGCATCCACGATCACGAAGATAGTCACAAGCAGCGTCTTCAGCTGGCTGTCGGCGGCCACCACGCGGCCGAATGTCAGCAGCAGGAGCAGGGGCAGGTGGTGATGGTGGTGAGCTGAGTGCATGGAGAGTTGCTTAGAAGCTGCAAGTTGGTTCTTCTTGGAGGAGGGGTGTTAAAAGAAATAGATGGAGTTCGAGCTCTGCTTATATGGAAGAATATGCTCTCTGAGATCATCTGCTTCCATCCTCGGGAGACAAAAACTAGGCAATGGTTTCCAAGTCCTGAAGAAACTTTCTGAGAAAACAAGGGAGTGGGACAATTTATTCTCTCAGATAGAATGATATAATATGCCAGATGCGATGATGTTCTTCTTGTTTGTCAGTAATGTCGTACCATCTAGAATTCTTTTGTTAGATATCTGTTCTTGAAGTTATCTAAGTCCTTGTTATTTGTGACAGACAAATTTCTTCTCTTCTTGTCTTATTACTCTGATGGATGTACGTGTCTGATAAAGAGATGCAGCCCAATGAAAGATCTGTGTTCTCTCTCTTGTCCGTTCAAGATTAAGCTTTGGATGGAAGAGGTTGTGAAGCTTCATATGGTGATCCATGGAAATTGTACGTTAGAATGAATCTGACATCTGCATACCTCTGCCTACATGTTGTTCAGAAGCAAACATCATGTGGCAATTGTACCCTTTTATCCAATGTCGAAACCATTGTTAGATTGTAAGCTCATAAGTCACTGTTTCAGCACTCTCAGTTCTTAAAGAACATCAGATATCATACCAGATTGGCATGGCAAGAGACAAATGAGCTTGTACAGCAAGCAAGATTGTTGCTCGATCAGGCTTCTAAACAGCCAATGTTAGCTTAGTGTTTAGCAAGAGGTACTAAGCAATCAATCACATAATGCGTATTCCTCATCTACAATAAATTGCAGCTCAGAACAGCCTTTTTTCTATAACTCATAGAAGCTGTGTCTCTGAGGTAACATCATCTCATCCCTGGGGATCCTTGAGTACACACTGGAATAGCCCTTCCTGCACCTGCCATGGCTGCTGGCCTCCACCTGCGCCAGGAACACAGCACAAACCGGCCTGTGATCCGAGAACCTCGACTCCCCCCTGAAGTACTGCAGCTGCTCTATGCCCTCGCCGTACCACAGAATCCGATCGCACCTGCGTCGCAAGGCAGTAACTTATTCCCTCTTCCGCAGCAATCGCCGAAGAAGAAGAAGAAGAAGAAGAAGGAAAGGTTAACTACCATGCAGGCGTTCGACGCTTCTTCTTGGACTTGGTCGTCTCCCCGGCGTATGCGTCGGAGTTGTACGAGTACTTGTACGTGGGAGCGAAGTAGATCTTCCCTTCCTTCCACCCGTCGAACACCCTTCCTGCTTCTCGCTCCATCTTCAACTGTTCATCGTCAGTCCAAGAGTAAGCAGGTCATGTGTGCTGCAGATCGATAAGATTGAGGTATGATTCCATGCCTGATCCCTTCCGAGAAGAGAATCCCAGTCATTGTCCTCCAGCAGTGTTGTTGCTTCGTTGTAGCTCAGCGCAATCCGGTAGTTCAAGTCTCCGAGCCACAGTATGCGACTTCAGCAGATGGAAACGTACAAGCTCAGTGAGGAAGGGAAGATTTAAGGCTACATGATTAGCTACCGTATGATTCGTACTCGTGTTCGAGGATCTTCTCGGGGATTCGACTTCCCGGGATCTTGCAGACCCTAGGGAACTGCGTGCTCTTGAGGATCTCGGAAACATCTGCGTTCCTCTTCAGTTCGTCGCCCTCCTTCTCGCCCGACGTCAAGTGGCTGCAGACGAAGCAGAAGCTCGTCCGGTGCAACGACATGCTCATCGCGATGCAGCCCTGAAACATGCACTTCCCCTGTTAGCAGCCGCCGATGGCTTCATATCCGTGCCGGTGACGCTGCGAAACCTTGAAACTTCACCTTGTTGCCGAGGCAGCCCATGATTCCTCTCCCGACGGTCGCCACCCTGAGGTGGCCGACGTCCGGCACCAGCTCGCTGCGAACCCATACCGAGAGGAAGATGCCCACCATCTGCTTGCTGGCGACGAGGGAATAGTTGGCGTCGCGCCGGGCTTCGGGGCTGACGACATGGGACATGGGGTGGCAGTAGTACTCGTCGTCGGAGCCTGAGTCGGTGCTGTCGATGAACTCCCTTAACTTCCTCGCCCTTCGCCGGATGCCGCTGGCGGTCTCGGGTCTGCAGTTGCAAGTCTTGACGAGGGCGCCGTCGACGCGGCAGTTCTTGCCGATGGCTTTGAGGGAAGAAGGCTTTTGGAAGAGGTGGCTGCTGCTCGACTTGCAATCCTTGCCGAGCTTTGCGCCATTCCAGGTCTCGGAGGAGTCGTCCTGCTTGTCGCTGGGCTTGTTGAGGGCGTGGCTGATGAGAGCCAGCCATTTTGTGGCAGGCTCGTTGTCCTCGATCACCAACACGTTCCCTGCATTTAGAGGAACTATTTCCTGAAACCTGCAAAGGGATCCAAATCATTAGAACCATTTCATGGCTGAGCCACAAATCTAAAGAAGAGATTCTTACCCTAACACATATATATCAGCTGATCCTTCTACTTGGAGGAAATCTTCGAGGTTGAGGCCATTGTTTGGAGACCTTCCCCCTACATTCCATGTCCCAACAAACACCCTGCACCATGAGAATTCTTGGAACTTGAGACATAAAACAGAGAGGAACACAACACCACCACATGTTTGATGGATTGCGTCTAATCCTACCGGTACTCCTCCACTCGACCACCAGATTTCCTTCTGGGTTTCTCCAAGATGGACAGGTTGAGGCCTTCGATTCTTGAGCTCGTGTGCCTGCCTGAGAAATTATAGACAAAATCTTGAGTTGTAGATCCTGTTTCATCGGGACATCTGAAATGCCCATCGAGTGCACACCTGAAAGGCTTTTCCTCACGGTTGGATACGCCTCAAGTAGATTTGTCCTTGTAATGTACCTGCTCTCCAAATCTTTGTTCCGAACAGCAGAAGAAGAAGAAGAAGAAGAAGAAGAAGATGAAGATGAAGAAGAAGAAGAAGAACGCATTAAAATCGCAAAACTGAATGCAGTAAATGCAAGGAAAAAAGAGAGTTCAAGATCGTCTTACCGAAGACGATCTCCGCTCGTGGGAATATTTCTCCATCGGAGCCTCTCTTGTTCTTCCCTTTTCTACTGAATATGCTTGGTAAGATGGACTGCGACACCAACCATCCTAAATGAGTGTATCCTTTCCAAGAACATGTGCAGCTTCTGGAGAGAGAAGGGTTACCTTTTTCTTCTTGTCGTTCTTGGCAGAATCGTCGGATGTTCTGGACTTCGTCATGTCGTCGTCACGGAGCTCGTCGAATGGCATCCAACTCAGAAGCGCATCTGGTTTCCGGATGCGGCCATCTCTGGTGCATCAAGATTCGAAGACAAAAGGGAGAGAGATGGCAACGGAGGAACGACGAGAAGGCTGCTCGTTGGAGAGAGCCTCCTACTTCGTGGTTTGCCGTTCTGGCATTTCAACAAACACTCCTGCATCCACTTTTAGGTACCGAAACCGGTGACGGACGAGACTTGGTCTTCTCCTCCTCCGTTCTCGCAGCACGTACATGGATGGGGGTAGGGAGAACACAAGGAAGCTAATTGTGGCACGTCGTATGAATGACTCATTCACGATGCCTTCTGACCAACAAAACTCACGACACAAGGTCAAGTACCGTATTGTCACGGACAAACTTTGAAACAGGATGTTTGATGTAATGCTTATATCTGTCCGTGCCTGTTGGCATGTTCATGCCTTGTACAGCATATAGAGGGGCAGCCGAAGGTTTATAAGTCTCATTTTAGTTAGGTGGTGGCCTCTTTAGGCTTGTAAATAAAGGTTGTGTCATGTGGACATGTGCGAGAGCTTTTCGGTCTGTAATGGACCATTTTACCTTTTGTTGTGCCACTGTTCAGAGCTTGTAAAGTCTGTTTGTAATTTGCATTGTCTATGAAGTGTTTTTCGGATATGTTTGCTTGTGGATCCCGATTGAGGCATTCTCTCTAACCCGTTCTCTCTTTTGGTGGTCTTAAGGGACAATGGGAGGCTTCGGGGAGGCTGATCTTTGCGGACGAACACGCAAGGGTGCCGCACGACTTAGGCAAAACCAACTAAGTCCGTGTCATATGGTATCAAAGCGGGACAAGCACTCATAGAAACACTTAGCATGCAAACGTGGGGGACCTAGCGGGGCTGCGTTGAGGGCAGTCAGCACACGCGCGACCGTTTGGGGGAAAACGGGCATGGAGATGTAGGGAAAAGGAGTCGCTCAGAGGAGCGGGCATCTGAGATTGGCATTCAGAGGAATGGCCAACCCTTCGCGCGAGAGGCACCACGAGAACAGGCAAGCTTGGAAGAATGTGGAGCGCACAAAGGTTGGGATGGCTGAGTTTGAGCTACGGCTCAACGTTGACAACCATACTTGATGGTGCTCTAGGCAAGCGAGGCGCCTGGCAAGAAAGAGACCATGCAAGGTGGAATGAGTTGTTCAGCGATCGAAAGAGTTGTGCAAAGCTCACAGAGGTGAGGGGAATTGCTAACTTAAAGAATTTGGTACTCATGCATGGGCTTGTATGCGGACGATGGAGTGTTCGCGGCCATCCCAAGGCGACCGAGACTCGGCGCCAAGGAGCATTGAAACTTTCTCTTCAGCATGTGAAGGATACGTCCGTAGGAGGCTGAAGTGTGCAATGAGTTTAGCATGTTGCTAGGCCTTAAGGGGTGCAGCGGGGGCTGTATTGACGTGGAGTCGCAATCTAGCAAGTGCATTTGCAGGAGGCAAAACAATGCATAGTTTTCAGCAGATCGGAGTAGTCCAAGGGGATGGGGGTCTTCGAAACGAAGAGAGATGTTGCTCCAACGGGGTAGTTATCCAAGAGGGATAAGTCCCGGCTCTCCAGAGGGAGAATCATGTGAGACGGACCTCACATGTTGAGGAGGAGTACCTCAACAAACAACAACTCCACGAAGCTCGATGGACTGAGCAAGCGGCGAGGAGTTATCGCATGATCTCGTCGAGAGAATGCATTGGTGGATGCATTGCGAGATCAAGTGGGAGAGCGACCTAAAGCAACTTAAATGAAGGCACACTTGGAGTCGATGTGGAGATCGAACTCAAGGGAGGGCTGACCCGTGGAATGGTGGCCGCGAGGGCCACCATTGACTCAATGCAAAAACGAGGAGCGGAACAACTTGGGTGTAACTTGGCGAAGTACCCAAGCCGCATGAAGGGAGCCAGCATAGAAGTTAGAACATAGAGCAGAGGCACAGTGCTTTCCTTAGACAGAGGTCAAGGACATGAACTCTTGCAGAGGCAAGAGTAGGATCATGTTGTTCCATGGGTCCTTCATTCTGACGGAGCAGACTCATCTTGCATGGTGCCAAAGACGAAGGGAGCTTCGGGGCAAATGCACCTTATCTCGGAGAAGCATTTGAAGGAGGAACTAAGGCGACTCAATTTGCGGAGGCAAAGTTGGTTACAGAAGGCCTTAGCACGGGGCAAGAGGACGCAGAGGCGGGTACTCTTGAAGAATATGTCACAGTGTTGCCATTCGAGTTGCTATGAAGGAAGCAGTGCGCAGCAGAGATTGTGCTGGTAGGGGCAGAGGCCCAGGATCCAGACAATGGTGCACAAATTACAATGAAGTCGGTGGACTTCGGGAGCTACTAGGTGACGGACTATCCTAGAGTGGTGCTTCATCTAGGTGTAACCCAAGAGTGGGTGGATGAAGGTCGATTGCCAAAGGAGCGAACAAAATCGAAGGTGGAGGAGTCCCTGCGATGTATTGGCAGAGGCCGCACATATGGAGGGTTCACAATTCGAGTTTATTCCACAAGGATCAGAATGCAATGGAGATGTCACCAGGAGGCGACATGGTGCAGCGGATCATGGTGGAGCAGTTCGTGGTAATGGGATACACACGACTTAGTCCCGGGAGGGACTAGATCATATAGAGGTATGATCGGGAGCTACTAGGAGCTCCACTTCGGTGAACAACACGACGGCAAGAAGGGCTATGGATTCAAGGAGTGAAGGCCATGGTACCGCAGAGGCGGGTCTTCCGTGCGGGCATCGAATTTTACATCGGATGAAAACCTTGGTCATCAGTATATGGGGGCTGGGTTCCACCAAGGGAAAAGTTCGAATGCAAGTACCAGTGAGTTCCATGGGAGGAACTTGATCATGCAGAGGTATGATCGAAGCAGCTGGAGAGTTGGACTGCTCCAGAGCTCATATTCGCTTAAGGGAGCCCGGCAAGTCAGAGGACAAGGTCGAGTAAGCGAACGTTGCTACCAAGGAAGCTAAGGAGAACAGAATTAGTGCAAACCCTACAACGTGATGGCAG